TCTAGCTGTGATGACGGGTAAGTCCATGGTGGGGATTAGGAATTATCTTTCAGGTCAACAACATCTCTTGTTGATCTACACCAGGTATAGACACCCTCAGGCTCAGACAACGTAGTCGTCGCTGGGTAAAACAAAGGCGTTCTCTCTCCAGGGTTGTGTTGGTCATCGTAATTTGCCTAGTCTCCAGGGCTAAAGTATATTTGGGTGTCGATCTCATTTATAGCTGCGCTAGTAGCCTTCATTGAGTGTACGTTGTACGCGGGATTGGAACCCCACATGGTCTGGTCAATTGATCTAGGCCTTGTTTTCACGGATGTGAATTAAAATATGGCTAAGCCAGGTCAACCCAGCACTCTGTATAGTCCCCCTAGGTGGGTTTTCCTACAATAAATCAAGACACTAACTAGTATGTAGTTAGTTAGATGTGGGTCTAACTATATGGTAGTTATCTAGTGGCTCAAGCCCTAGTTGCATCAATATAAGTATCGATATATTGTGACTATATTGAGCATAGCTTCCAATTTCACAGGAGTCCAACCGTCTTTTTCGCAATCGATGAATTCCATATAAAACCGAAGGCTTTGGTCGGGACCTTCTTTTGCTAAGAGTAGAATTCTATCTATATCTCAACACTTTCTCCAACATAAAGAGAAGAACTTATGTATCACTTCTATTATACCCATCTTCCAATGTCAACGCAAGTAGGTAGATCACGTTAACCGTGTCGTAAGAAACTCTATAACGCACCTGGGCAAACTGTCAATTTAGTACTTATGTATCTATAACTTGGCCGAGATAATCAGTAAAGCAGGGTGTCTTTGCCAAGCAACTGCGCCTCGTAGCCTACGAGGCATAACTGAAAGAGGGACACAAGTCTCCTTACTGTTAACTCAGTACTATGAATAACAATTAAATATTGTGCTGGTCATTGTGGGGAGGCTTTTCTGTCCACGGACTTTGACTCTTTAATAGATTGAGGCCCCAACTAGTCATGCATTAGGGCTAGAGTTAAATGACACCGCTTGTTGGCAAGGCTCTTGTGGCCTTCACTGTATAGTATTTTATCTAGTTTGAGGATTTATTGCCCAAATATGTTTCTGTGAAAAAGCTGCTCCAATCCACACGCAATATATTACCCAGATCTGAATATATATATACGGGGCACGTGAATTGCAACAAAAAATAATTCTTCTTGTTAGACTCTATCAGAAATCAACGAGAAAAGAATTATTCTACCGTATAGTGCCATAATTATTCTTGATGTCAGATATCTTGAACTGCTCTTTCAGGCAGGAGCTTCATCCTGCAGGTCCTTTGTGCCTTGACCTCCTCGAGGACTGCAGATTAGATTGGTTGAAGATACACTGAATTTATGACCAACTTATCGTCGTGACCATCATTACAAGAACGTGCACCACATAGGAAGGAAAGGACTTCCACTTAGCTTTAAAGTTCAACCAAAAGTAAAATATAGCATTATGCTCGGACCATCTTGAAATGACTATCAGTCAACATACGACGCGAGTTAGCATGTGACAAGAGAATAGATCTCCTCCCTAGATGGGATCCAGCATCTCTGTACCACTTAGTCTATACTAGCTCAGTATATAGCAAAAGAAGCTGCTAAAGGTGTACTAATGAAGATCGATCCTTCTACTTCCATGCGTTGTTTTTACTAAGTACGTAGCGCATATGTAAAGTACGTGGCTGCTGCGATCCGTTCAATTCCCATGCCTCGAAGGAACCAATAGAAAAAGTTACCGAGTCGGATCCGAATGTTTCATTTTTTTCTTTTGCTGTGAAAAAGCAACAAGGTGAGGAATTTTCGCAGCCGCTATGATGGGACCCGGGAGGATACGGATGACAACCGACAATGGATTCGGTCCAAGAAGCGGTCAGGCGATTATTCTGTGTCGCATTGCTTCCCAAGGCTATCTACTCCAAGAGCTAGCGCTTGTCAAAGAAAGCTCGAGCGTATGCATAATTGACAGCTATGGAACCGGGCCGTTCCATCCCACAAACGCCCAACGGGCGAGGTTTGTTTGGTTTCTATTAGATGAATACAAAGTCAGAATACAAAGGAATATGGCTATTGGTACTATATTGTACATCAAATGCAAAAGCTCTTCCAAAGACTTCGACATAACTTATATTGTAAAGAGAAAACCCCCGGTGAGCACCGGGATACGTCTGCAAATCCCGGATTCCAGCAGACTGGGCAACCTATCGGCTAGTGTGTACATACACAACAAATGACATTTGCATTGATGTCATGCAGATCAAAAATGAAGAGATCCACAGAGTATATACCCCTTTCTCCCTGTTCCCGATTTGTCTTTCCGGGATAGTTGATAGATCTAAAGGATGAACCCAGGTTGGACTCAATTTGATAATTTGATAACTATAACGTGATATTTTCAGATTCGGGTCGAACCGTGGGGCTGTGCCTGACGGTGCTCAGTCTTGCAATCAAGACTATTGATATTGGCTGCCTTTACCCTGCATGAAAGACCTCTCCACAACGATCAGTATGAAGATCTTTTCTGACGACATGCATTCCGGGAATACACGTGACATATATATCCACACGTGACATGTGGGTATATATGTCAAAAAAGAAAATTAAAGCAGGTAAAACAATGGAGAAATAATGCGAAGGTAAAATAGTATAGAGTACATTGTATAGTTGAGGATACAGCTTCCGAGGCATATTGCCACCGGGGCTCCTATTACTGGTTGGGTTCAGTCTAAGTAAGATTCACTGTAAATGCTCGGCTCCCTTCCTCAAAGGGGACTAGCGGTGTTACCATATAATTAGCAAAGAATAGTGCTTCCCGCACATCCGTCGGTTGGCCAACTCCACCCTCAATATGTACTAAGAACGAACACCCACTCAAAGGCTGGGTCACTAATTGACCTGCAGACTGTCACGAGGGGATCTCATACCCTGTTTGGTTTAGGGAAGGGTCCAAGCGGGCATTAACAAAATTGGTGTTGAGGACATTAGTGTACGCACGAAATACATAGTAGCCTGTATATAAAAAGTTAGGGTTAGATTAATAATAAGTGATATCGAAATCCCCAGGGCCGCTTTAGAGTTAGACCCCTTAATTCTGATCTCATATTCTCCAATTTGAGAAGAATACAAACATCTTACCCATCATATAATGATACAAACCTTGGAATAAATCACTATCGGCACGGGCCGTAGGGGAGCTTCGAACTCAACTTTAGATACTGGCATATTCAGCCGCATTGTGAACGGCATTGCAGCTGCCATCTGTATAACAGTCCACTCTTACATACTGTCTAATGTGAGTATGTATCTCCTTGCTTACAGTACAAAGGCTAATGCACTGTACGTTCCACGGATGCAAGTCGTTTATACCCTAGTGGTATCTTCCATCGGGGTATACGGAGTACCACCTGCAGATCTGGTAAAAAAAAAACATCATAGGATACATAGTAGGCCACGTTGCTGATGTCGCTCATCCCACTGGTGTTATTGCCGATCTCCCTACCACACAAGCCTGCCATAGCTACGACACTGCACTATAAACCTTCCTAATTAACACGTGGAAAAATGTCCGCATAGTACTACATAACTAACTTAGGGAAGGCAATTAATAATACAGCGTAGTATATAATCATGCCTTAATCATAGCAGATCTAAGATTAAACTCATGTATATTGTTTGTAGTCTTATCAGGGTTGAGTTACTTGGGATCACACTCCGGTTAAAAGACAGATCTGTGCCCTCCCCACGATCTATTAGCTCAGAACGAGGGTATCAGTTTCCGTTCTCCTGGGATACCGACAAAAGGAGAAGTGGGGAATGACTGGGAGGAAAGATGATCATGGGAAAGGCAACATGCAGCTGCCGATTCTGCGGATGCTGCCAAGGATATCCGCATCACCCCAGCACCCTGGCCTACTGCAGTAGTTGGTAGAGTGATATAGTTAGCGGGGTGTTGGTGGGGTTGCTCAGCGTGAGCTAAGGACATAATCTGGGTAGCAAGGGAGAATAAAGAAGACTAGCAAAGGGAGGAAGGCAAATCCGCTCTATTGTACTCTATCAACAGCAAAGTCCTTAAGCGTGCAGGTGGTCGCTCAGCAAGTTTTCTTTCTACTATGGTTGGAGGCTATTCCTGTCACTTGAGACACCGCTGTACAAGCATATAAAGCATTGTCAGCAACACAGCATGTGGTCCATGCCATAAATAAGAACAATGCCAATGCATCGGAAGAGAGGAGGCTATGTTTATCCGATACAGAAACACAGATAGTAGAGGTGTGAATATTTTCATCTCTTGGCATTGTTCATGCCCAAAATTACCGACGATGCACACTTGTATCGAGCTAGAGAACATGTGGGACTTGAGAGAAGCAAGGCTACATGAGATACATGCCTACACCCAAGCGCCTCATTGTAGATCCACTGACGAACATGACAGAGAAGAATGATTGACATCTCCGCCTTTGTGATATATCTCGATTAAATGCGGATTCATACTCACAACCACTACTAACCTATGGTACACTTGAAAAGAAAATATGTATTGCTCAAGCCAGAACGACTGAAAAAACAGAGGAAAAGCAGAGGAAAAAAGAGGGAAAAAAAATAAAAAAAATAGCAAAAATAGCAAAAATAGCAAAAAAAGCAAAGTAGATAGAAAAAAAAAGCAGATAGATCTCCTTCGCCATGAGGCTCACATTGTAGAACGCCCGCCAAATAAATTCTGAATCCAGATAGCAAAAAAATGGGCAACTTCAAACGAAGCCATGCCTCTAGTGTGCTCAATGGCCAACATTGGTCTCCACCAATGGACCGAAAATTTGCAAGAAAAAAAGAAAGACGTAAAGGTCACGAAATCGGGTAAAAACACAGCATGCACGTATGCACGTCCGGTTCTCCGGGTTGATCGCTGAATCTTGTTCTGTCCTCTCCCCCACACCTCCTCCTCCCTTTTTTGGTGGTTTAAGTTTTATTTTTCGAAGTCTTAAGATGATCGACTGAGACCCTCAAGTGGGTCATGGACCCTGTTGAAGCCCGACTCCGGAGTGTACCAATCATGGTTATGGCCCACGTCAAATGCCGGTCCTGGCTCCATGGTATCGAGGAAGACCGTATTGTTGCCTGGTATCATCGGGGTGCATCCGACCACGGGGCCTACGGGGTGCTGCATGTATCTTTGCATTGTTGGAAGGCTCGTGGGACCGTATTCATGTTCGAGGCTAGGGTTCGTGTCCATCATTTGCTGCCGGTGATATGCTTCGGCGCGGTCGTTTTGTGGACTGTTCGCACTGCGTGATTTGACGACCTTCATGGCGTGGACCCCCTTGAACTCCGGCTGCTGACGTGTGGCCCCGCGATGGCCTGAGTACAGTGGTTTCTTGTGGTGTTGAAGCTTGCGGTACCGGGTAGTTGATTGAATGGAACCGCTCCGGATGGTTTCCGCCGTCAGCCTCCAGAAGTTCACTGCCTTTTTACCTGGCCCGACTTCTTCCTTTACTGCTTCGAAGCCCTGGACTTTATGTTAGTATTGATCTTGGAACTGAAAGAATGAAGTATGAGAAGTGAGAGTTACCGCGTTCATCGAAAGGTTATGGCGAATACTATTTTGCCATCCCTTTGCGTTTGGATCCCCTCCTTTGTCTGTATTCGCTTCGAACCAGGAGTAAATGTTTTGGAGCTGAAGCTTGTGCCCCGGGGCTTCCTTCAAGGCCTGGTAGATGAGCATAGAATAGGGAGGCTGACTGTGACGCTCCTGGTTATTGTCACCAGTGGTTGAACGGGGCGAGAAACGGTCTGCCGTCTGAACCGTCACTCCTGGGCTCGAAGCACCGAACGAAGCAGGAGACTGGTAGGAGGAGCCATCAGAAAGTGGCGATGGTGGGGAGTGTGGAGGTGGCTGAAGAGACTCCCTCTGAGGATAGTTGTATGACTGGTCTTTGAAGACAAGGGAGGATTGCAAAAGTGGCCAATCTGAGTGACCCTCTGCAGCCTGGGAGCCCAACATCTCTGAGGTTGCGCCAGACATAGTGGGGTTGACATGCGAGCGATAGCCATCAGTGTATGCGTTTGGATCTCCGAGGAGCTCCTGAGTTAACGGGCCCAAGCCGTATGGCTCATCATCAGCAACCCGAGGAAAGCTGTAACCTTCATACTGGTGAAGAGGCATGGGAAATACCTGGGATCTCCATCTTGCCCAGTCAGATACACTGATCTGAGGTGGAGCTTGTGGTTGCGAGAGGAGACCAGGTTTCGAATCTGCTTGACCTGACATCTGCATCCTGTCGAAATGTTGCGAATGGGATGAGAAATCCATGTTTGGACAAGGCAACCTCTGGCTGTGAGAAGGACTTGATGGGTTGGGTGATAAAAGAATAGAAAGGGAAATAGAAGAGAAGCATGAAAGTTGTGGGAGAAAGGAAGATATGAGAAGGCAAACTTAACTCTTGGAAGAGGAAGAGGAAGAGATGGAGAGAGAGGGAGAGATAATAAGAATAAGAATAAGAAGGAGACAAGCGTAGACGAGTGTGCAGTCTCAAAGGATGTGTGTGTGCTCAACGACGATTTGGAGCTGTATAATCTCAAAGATCCTATGCCAACACATCATATTCTTCTTCCTCTGCAAATAACCTCATAGATGCAATCCAAACAAAAGACGGTCTGGACCTAAGAGAATTAATTAATATTATTTTTCTCTCTCTCTCTTATATTATAGAAGAAAAGGTCTAGTCCGTATTTCGAAAAAACACCTTAGATGCCCAAGTCGTGCAACGGAGATTCATAGTACAGACAATGACCAATGACCGGGGAAGTCATAAGTGGCTGGATCTGGTGCTACATGCTACATGCGACATGCGACTAGAACGAATGAACTAGGCCTCCTAGAGCCAGAAGGGGATAGTCAAATGGTCAAATGGTCAAATGGGAACCTGCAGGATACAAGTCGCCATTCATCTACTCCGTACACCGGCTTCATTCCGGCCCTTCTGGAAGTTAACTGCAAGTGCGATGATATTCTTACTTTTTTGTCTAGTCCAATTGTTTCTTTTATCCTTTCTTTCATAACATGTATCCAGCCAGCCGGAAGTCAGGAATACATCCTGCTCCTGCAGGCCGGGATAGTGTCACCTAAAAAGGACATCCAACGGTCCCCCCGTGTTGCGAGTACCCTGGTAACAGAAAAAAAAAAAGTAAAAAAAAAAGAGACATATGGTGTCGATACGCTAGTCGTGGTCAATGCTATGAGGAGTTTCTTTCTTTCTTTTTTTTTTTTTTGAGACTTCCCCCTTGAGGGACAATCATAATGGGGGAAAAAAGTGGCAAGGTCGTCAAATTTAGATCGAAGATGTTGGATAAGCATCTGATATCTCCATACATCAAGTCCGGCTTATTCTGCGAAAACCTGGGAAATGTTTCCAGTCCAATCAATCCAGGTTGGTCTGATTCACTGGGTATCAAGTCACTGGAGAATATACCCCCGAACATATCTCCCTGCATATACTATTGTAATCCACTCTCTCCATTCCGATATGACGCCCATGTGGAAATCGTTGGTTGCGCATGTGTTACTTCCGGTAATAGATCTGAAACAATCTGTTAGTATTGTCTTCGTAAAACCTCAAAAAAAAAAAAAAAGAAAGCAACTTACCCTTTTGAACTGGAAATGAAGTTGAAGAATTCCCTTAAAGGAAATGATTACGTCAGTTGAGAAACAGGGGTGGGGAAGAGGTTATTTAGTAGCACGACATACCTTGTCAAATGTACTCTTGAAACCCCTCTCGCGTTTGGCACTATAATCCCATTCTTTGTCGACAATGCGAAAGGCAAGGTCTTCGTACGGAGGTCCAGCTATGAACCGAATGAGACAGGTGTCTTCCTCACCCGCTTCGGCCGATGACTCGCCACGCTTGCGACCGTTCTCACGCTCAATCCGGTAAGTCGGGGCTCTGGTCTTGTCAATCAAGTCGGGGTAGAAAATGTTGAATTTGTAACCTTGTACAACCTTGGGTGGCGGGTTGTCATGGTCGTAATGGGTTTGATTGTATTTGTTCCATTCATAGCCCATTTGGACTCGGTTGAAGTACCGTGGCTTTCGAGGCCGATGTTTACCAGCCCATTGAGGTTGGGAGCTCGTGCTCACGGCCTCTTCACCCGTAAATATTTCCTCATTCTCACTGACACCCTTGGCGAGCTCCCTTTCATATAGCGCTTTGGTCGCTTGGGAGAAGTCTTCGTTCGGGATGGACGAGAACCGCGTGGATACAGAGGTAGCGGGGGCATGGGTAGATGTCGGATTCGATACTACCGTGGATGACTTCTCTGCAGCGCGGTGCCGTAGTGGGACAAAACCCATGCGGATAATTTTCTGGCGTTCGCGAGCCTGTGCGATTGATTGATCAGCATGTGGATTGGAATAAATGAGAAGAAGCTCGAAAACCTACCACTTGGTTAAGGAATGCGGACTCGTCCATGATTTCCAAGCCTTTGTCCTCCGGGCGGACCTGAAGCAATGGATCTGGATCCAGGCCTTCAAACTCGGCATGACTTGTTATATCACCCGCAGAGACAACTGGAGCAAGGGGCGCTAGTTTTTCCCGAATTGATTCGGCTTCCTGTCTTTGCTGTCTCCTCAGGTCGCGAACGCGCTCATCAATAATAGCTTGATAAACATTTTTCAGACTCGCCCGGGCCTTCCAGACAGTCAGACTGCGCAGCAGCTCTTCCCAGTAATCTGTATCGATCGGCTCGTTCGAGTTCAACTTCCGTTTCACTTGTACTTCGAGATTTTGAAGCTGCTCGTAGGATTTTGGGCTTAGTAGTTTGTTGATGTCGGCAGCCACGGAATTCAGTGCGCGACCCTCGGGTGTAACGGTCTTTTGACGATCTCGGCAGATGACTTTCATAGTCTGTAGAGTGGATGGTGGTCAGCAGGGGTGTCTAGTAGATAGCAGAGTGGAAGAACATTACCTGCCAGAATTCACGGTTCTTCGCGTTTGTCTCAAGGTTAACAAATGTATCAATATCCTTCTCCAAGTCCTGTAGTTGGGTCTGCGATAGTCCCTCAAAAACACCGTCCGGGTCCACGACATCCAGGTCGGAGTCTGCTATCTCGTCATCCAAGGGATCTCGCGTAGGATCGATGATGCGGAGAGTAACAGTCAGCCAGTCGATAGGCTTTGCGCGTCCTTCCTTGACTCGAATCTCTGCCTTCTTTTTGGCCTGCTTCAGCACGAACAGATCCTCCTGCGCGACCCACTCGCGCTCTTGCTGGTCTTCCTGGATCAAATTGAGCCGGACTTGATCGCGCATGTTGCGAGGCTGCTGCGAAGGGCCCGATCTCTCATTGTTCCATCTGCGATCCGAGTCTTGTCGGTCGCGCCATTCTCCGTCGTCCCGACGAGGGTGTTTCTGGGGCTGACGCCACGAGGATGGTGATCGAGACCTGCTGCGCTTTGAGTCTGATCGGTCTGGAAATCGCGCAGACATAGTGAGAACTGTAAGGATATAACGAGGAGTAAAGATTAAAAAGTATGCGATCCGAACGTATGTAATTTGGATGTCGAACGCGAAGTTTAGGAGTTCGGGAGATCAGCGGGAAAGTTAAGCGGGCGGCAAACCTTCCCTTATGACCCAGGCAGCTATATGAGACAACTTTGGAACTTCACAACTTCGCATTGTAAATCAACAACTTCGCTCAAATCATGCCTTCGAGATGGCAGCGTCTTCACTTATCCCAGCAGGGGTTACCTCCCTTGCTCTTCCAGTATACCTGGACTCGACAAGGCTATGAGATCCACATAACAGACCTCACTTATATCTGGTCAGAGCGGCTGCCCCATAAAGCGATCACCAAGAGAGCAGAGGAAGATGCCACAACGATCGATCCTGGAGAGGACATAGAACAGCTCAATGTGCTTCTGGATAAAATTGGAGAAGCTTTACAAAAGGGCAATGAAAGCGCAATCCTAAGCAGTGGAACACAAACCGACTCGCTTGAAATCACGACAACAACCAAGCTTCCCTCCCCGTTGAGGCCCCTTAAGTGGTCTTTGAGGTTATCAAAGGAGCCCATGTCGTCCTTGACTACTAATCTATTAATTCCGCTGCTGAGGGAGGAAGCAAAGTGGGAGTCCCGCCAACATGCGCTCTTGAATCAAATCAAACAGAAAGACTACGTACTTGGCAAGTTGTTTGACAAAATGGAAACACTTGGCGTGGACCTAGGGTCTGTGTTTCCTAGCGCCGCAGGATCGCGCGCGTCTCGCAAGGCTATTACGCGGTCCGAGGCTGCTAAATTTATTAAGGGCATTGCGCCGTTTGAGGAACAGACCTGGCTTGCTGAGACAGGAGTATCACATGGGGCGGGATTGGCCACCAATTTACTGCAGGAAATCTCGGAGTCCGGTGATTCGCATGATTTGGATACCTTCACCCTGCCACAAGCTGAATGGTGGGATCAACTTGAGAGGCCCTCTGAAACTAGCGCCAGAGAATCCCCTCCCATTGAAGAGGAAAGTCCCAAGGACAAAGATAGAAAAGAACCGGTTGAAACCAAGCACATCGACGAAGGAGGGGACTCAGCGGCAAGCAGTGATGTCGATGAGTTTCAGGTATGCTACGACTTATTCCTAATCACAGATAACAAGTATAGCTTAACCCTGTTCACCTAGCGACAAGAAACTCCCCCCAGACTAAAATCCCAACATGACGAAGGCAAAACAGCACCACCCAAGCAAAAACCCAGAAGCGAAAGTCCTGTTCCACCAGTATTACCTTCCGAGGAAGATGAAGCCACAGCATCAGACTCCGACTCCGAGCCTGAACCAGCACCGCGTCAAAACCGCATTCCCAGCGTTTCAAGGTCACCAGAGCCCGCTGAACCGCCCGCTGCACCACAACCGAAAGCTCGAGAGGCACCGAAAGTAACAAAGGGTGGACTGGGTAAAATTGGCGGCCGGAACAAAAAAGAAACAGAGCGTCGGCCCTCGCCATCTCCCTCTCCAGCTCCTTCTCCTCCGGCGCCAGTTCGAGAGGCACCGAAAGGGCCAAAGGGCGGACTAGGTAAAATTGGCGGCCGGAACAAGAAAGAAACAGAGCGTCGGCCCTCGCCATCTCCCTCTCCAGCTCCTTCTCCTCCGGCGCCAGTTCGAGAGGCACCGAAAGGGCCGAAGGGCGGATTGGGCATGATAGGCGGGAAGAAAAAGCAAGCAAAAGAGCCCTCGCCTTTACCAGCTCCTTCCCCTCCAGCACAAACCCGCGAGTCTCCAGAACCCGAGGAACCTTCAAAGTCTCCAGAAGAGAAAGAAAGGATTGACAAGGATCAGCATCATCCCACGTCGTCAACACAGTCACCAGAAGTCAAGGTTAAACGTACCGGGAAACTTGGCATGATAGGCGGCAAAGCTAAAGCCAAGACGTCCGAATTAGCTCGAGACAAGTCTCCGCTGCCTACATCTGACACGGTGGTCAGGTTACCTGAGAAAACTATACCTGCTAAACCGAAGGGTGACAGACAAGCTCCTAAAAAGGAGGAGTCTCCATTGCCCACACCAGCAGCGGAGAAGGCACCTTCTGCTCCACCTGCAGAGCCGGAGACTGAAGATCAGCGGGCTGACCGCAAGCGCGAGGAACTGAAGAGGTCGCTTGAGGCTAAGGGCAAAGCTCCCGCAAAGAAGAAGCGGAGGTTCTAGACGAATGTGAATAGGGATTTTAAGCTGTAAGATAAGAATGTGTCTAAATCATTTTCCAGGCGATCCGACGGAAATTTCTGTGTGCGTACGATATATTCTATCAAGTATGTGATGACTACATAGGGAGAATTGCACTACAGGGCTGTACACCGTAGGTCTGTGCTTGAATACGTGTTATGCGTAGATTGATTCATTGAAAGTATCGCGATTGGGGAATCAAATAATAAAAAGAAGACAAGAATGAAGTGAAGACGTAAAAGCAAAAAAGAAAAAAACACGCGCTAATAGTAGTACACATTGAGCGTTACGCAAGACTCACGCTCAGTCCCTCGAAGGAGGACCTGTGCGAGCCGAGGCAACACTTTCCTTCTCTTGCTCATTTGGGGTAACAAGTCGCACCCTCTTAGGCGACATGGCGCCGGGTGAGACCGGCGCCGGAGAGGAAGTATTGCTTGTCGAAGTGATCGGGCCAGCACCACTGCCACCAGTGGCAGCGGCGACGCCAGCGACACCCAACATGCCGCGGACTTTCTCGACGGCCTTACTTTCACCCTTGGTCCAGGGATCACGTTTAACGAGCCCGACACCGGCGGAGCGACTAGCAGAATCGCGACGCTTGGACTCCGCCTGCAGGGCTTGGCGGTTTATTTCACGACGTGGGCCAGGCCCGCAGTCATGCGAGCAGCCGGCGGTGGCACAGCCACCTTCGCTGGTTGAGATGTCGCCGAGCCAGGCAGTGATGCAGGCTAGATGGCCGCCGTGGCCGCAGCCTTGGCACCAGGTCCAGAGGGCGGAGCCTTTGGGCCGAGGTACAGTGAAGGGCTCGAGCATCTCGATCTCCGACTCTGGGAGGGGTTCAGTGGGAAATGAGGACTGTGAGGAATAGTTTGAAGTGGCCTCGGAGTCTGGGTCGGGACTGGTGAGGGTTGATGAAGTGATTGATGGATTTTGCTGCTCTAAAACCCATTCTGGGGGTGGATCAAGGCTCACGCAAATAGAGCATGGTGCCTGAGGTGTGCTGCAGCGATAACAGCGGCTATTGTCTTGGGTGGGATTTTCAAAGGGTCGTTGACACGTGTAGCAGTAGACGTTGATGAATGAATCTGTCTGGGCGTATTCATAGACGGCAGGATATGTTGATACACAAAATAGGCGGAGCTCTGCCGCCTCAAGGTCCATCGAGTGCCGAATCAGGTGCTCATTGTAAGTTTTGAAGACCGTTTCACATTCCTCGTACGGGAGAATTTGTTCGCAGTCCCGGAAAAGAACGTGCAGCTTCTGGAGAAGATGGGCGGCAGCCTGGATATCGACTAAGCTGCTACTGCTGTGGTAATATCGGACTGATTCTTTCAGAATCGCTTCAATACCCCACGGTTTCAAGTCTGTTCCGTCTGGCGTGAGCGGGATCTGCACTCGCGACATACCGCCCATTGTTGAATAAGGCGTGGTGCCGAGGTAGGGTGTATCATCTGGTGGGGAAGTTTGCTGCTGTCTTTCAAGGGGGTTGATTCTGTGATCAAAGGGGGAGGGCTCGACGGCCGCTCCAGATGAAGTTGATCATTCTCTGAGACGACATGGTCAAAGATCTCATCCTCAGATTCCTCGCGTGTAGAGGCTAGAATCGATCCTCTTCTCAGTGCTGAAGCAGATTGTCCAGCATCCAGAGATTTAGATGCGTCAAGATGTCCAGTAGACGAGTAAGACGCACCAATAGACTTGGAGGGGTGTGAACTGTCGGTAGATGTAGAGAACATGGGAAAACTCTCCGAAGAATCATGCCGGCTATAACGGTCGGTACGGGGCGGCCGATTAGACTCCATTGGCGATTCAAGAGTCAAGGGTTTCTTGGGAAATTGCTTGTAGTCACGAATCGCTGCACGTTTATCCTCCAGCTTTTGGTCATAGTCATCCTCGGAATTTCCCTGAGGGAAGTCTGAGTGACCGTGACGGCGCCAATCTGCTTTGCCGGCAATTGCCCGAGGCGCAGACCGTTGCTCCATGTCCAAGTCTTCTTGTGTGGGATCCCATAGATACTTCGATGAGTGAGTATCATCGGTTGATGATAGTCGTCCACGCGGCAAGGGTATATGATCCGACATACCCCAACCGTTATGGTCACTCAAAACTGATGGCGGGAGAGGGTCAAGGTCGATCGCCCCATCGCTCAACGAGGGCATTTGAGAATCAGTGCTCGACCAGGAGTCTTTCGGGGAATCGGGCAATGGGCGCGCAAGAGGGGTGGTCATATTCGACGAGCTTTCACCCTCGGGAACCGCCTCCATGACCCCTTTGAACAACCGACTTTTGACTCTGTCCTGTCGACCATCATCGGGTCGTGGCCTGTCTACCAACCCTCCATCCTTGGATAACCTGTCTTTCGGACCACCTTTTGCTGGATGATCCCTAGCTCTACGTTGGAGTTCTTCGAGAATAGCGAATTTGACAATTCTCCAAGTCTGAGCCAATCTGGCCAGGGATACCTCGTCTGCACATTCAGCGTTGTGGTCTAGTGATTCAATCAAAGTGTTTAGGACGTCTGTCTGCGTTCTATGTTCACTATGCTCATCCATCAACGGTGTATAGTGGCTTGCCAAATACCGAAAGACTGCTGGGTTGTTTGTAGCACCCGGAATACTTGTGATGATCCCCGCCTGACTAGGCACCGGGGTTGCGAGCTTGGCCAATGCTTGTTCTAGAGGGAGCACGGGTATGAAATCCACTGCTCCGGGCGGAGTACTGCCCAAAGACTTGGATGCTCGAATCGTGGTCGATTTGGTATGTCGATTCCGAAGGGAAGTGGCCAAGACGGCTTCGTCAAAGATGTCATCTGCAGGGCTCTGGCTTAGTGATCTCTCGCCAGTGCTATAGTCGTCTTCTTCGGTCCGTAGAAATTCTGCGGCATTGACTCCCAGAGGACGCCGCCTGGGTCGTTGTTGACTAAACGCAACAAACTCGCCATTGGGACTCCAGGCCACAGAGCACATCGGTCGGCGATTGACCACAGTTGGCGCATACCGAACATCAGTCTGGGTAAAGGCCCCGGCCTCGCCGACCGTCCACAAAAGATCCTTGGAGCGCCAGAGCAGATCCGATGCGGGTGCATCGTACCGATCGAACTCGCGGAATGGAACATGCGGGCGACGGAGATCCCAAAGGTGAATGCGTGGATCTTCTTTGTCGTAGGACGTGACGACTTGAGACGATTGCCATTCTCCCGAGGCAGGAGACTCACCAACCCAAGAAGGAGGCCTCCATCGAACGTTTGTGACCGCCTGGGGCGTCCGGAACTGGAATGCAGGTTTCTGCCGCCGCTCTGCGGATGAAGAAAAGTCCCAGACCTTTACCTGGCGATCCGTGCCACCACTAACAATATGCTTTCCGTCGGGGTGCCAGTCGACTGCATAGCATGGGTGATCATGAGCGGCGATCCTCAACAGTGGGGCGTTGACCTTTCGATAATCCCACATCTGGATCGCGCCGCTGTCTGAAGCAGTCGCAAATATAACCCCATCATTAGGCGACCACCGGACGTCCCGGATGGCATCGCTGTTGCCCTGATACGAATGTTTGCTAGGGCACGTGGAAGTTCCCCGATTTGCAGAGGCGGATCGCAGATCCCACATCCGAATTGTGCCATCTTGACTGCCGGACAGGAGCCAAGAAGGAAGATGAGGGTTGAAGGCAAGCCTGTGCACCTGGCGATTATGACCATGGAAACGACATAATTGGAGACCGGGCCGCTGGAGGTCGTAAACCACAATCCGACCATTTGCGACTGCAGTTGCGATTATCCGGTCATAGTTCCCATGTGACCATTTTACGTCCTTCACATTCAATTGGTCCTTGTGTGGCATCGAAACGCCCACGTCGTGGTGGGTAGATGCATAGCTAATGACTGCATTTCGAATATTGAATTCCTCTGACGAGCGGTCTGGGGAGACCTGGATGGTTTTGAGGATCTCCTTGCCTGCGATAACCGCATGTGTCCGTTCTGGCGAAATGTCCAAAGACGTGATTGCTATGCCTGTTTTGTGGGTCACAGTCTGCGGTTCTCCTGGTCTTTACAGAAGGATTATGATTAGAAAGCTGAAGATTCAATTGGTTCAAATGCAATTCCTTGATCTAGCTCCGACCTAATGGTGGGGGCGGTGGTCACTGCGGTGAGAACAAAGATGGAAACAGAGTACAACATAAAGCAGGGACGTAGGGGTATCAGAGCGGTGTGAGAAAGCTGCAGCACTTACAGTGATTTGGATCTGACCGACCGGGGACCATCCGCACGACTGCTTTGGGGACTAGGTGGTCTTGAGCCCAAGAAGAAAGGTTGGGCGAATCTAGCAAGGGCATTGGCGGCACGATTCGAGTACTTTTGTGGCGGAGGTGGAGGAGGAGGAGGGATCGGAGATCGCGAACCTGAGAGGTCCGACATCGTTTATAGCCAGGTCTCCATTATGGCACACGACCACCGAATTGGAGGGAGAAAGATGCGGAGAGTTGGAGATCGTCAAGATGCAAGCGGTGAGAGAAGATCCCTGAGGCACCGATCCATGCCTTACTATTATAGTTACCTATATAACATCACTTTTCAACATTGTTATAACTACCTAACATATAGGGCACCAGTCAGGTAGTTGTACTCCTTTCTTTCTTTATAATTTATGTCATATTTCTCAAATGCACCTTTTATCTCTTGAAAGCCATCGGGCCTGAACACATATTAGGAGCGGTCTAGAAGACAACACATGAGAGGGATCAGATTGAAATGTGATTTTTACGAAGCAATTTCTTTGGAGTGAACGTGTCCAAAGACTAAAATACCTATATACATATAGCTATATCCATAGTACTATCTGTCAAACAACCTTGCAAGAATGTGATTCTGATTTGTCTTACCTCAACTGGGGCTTTGGGACACGCAACACATGGAGAATATATCCATAGATTATTCATAGATCATAGACTAATGACATTATGTACAAAATGTACGTACAAATCTTAACTAGTTACATCATTATACAAATACTCATGATCGGTGGCCAATTTATTGAACTGCGCCTCTTGGGAGTGCCACTGAAATGACTAAAAAAGAGGCAAAAATATGAGACACTCAGCTAATCACATACATCAACGGGAAGTTTACACCAATCTAAGCTGAAGGTCACACCTCACGGAGAAAAGGAATGAATTTTTTAGATTTTATTGCCATAATGACTGGGCTCAGATGATCTTGTCATGTTAATATTTCCTTTTTGATTTTTTGATTTTTTGATTTTTATTTTGATTTTTTGGGGGGTAACTTGATGAAGTCATTATATGTGTGGATTGTTCTCGATCGATAGATCGACGATCCGTTTATTCTCCTCCTTCTCCCCCTTCTAGGACGATTTGAACTTTGACCATTGGGCACAAAAGGTCTAGATTGATCAATTCATATCAGGGCTCTTTTAAACTAGCAAACAAAGCCCTAAAAGAGAACTCGGAGAAAGAAGAGATAGATATACACATATATACAACAATATATATAAAAAAAAAAACAAAGATGTCAACTGATACTAGTGGATCTCCATTTTTATTTTAGTTGCAGCAACAATCCACACACACCGTCATTTTAGGCCTTTTAGATGTTTATATATTCCTGATATTTCCCTTTCTTTGCCTCTTTTTCTTTGGTTTTGTATAACTTCTTTTTCTTTTTATACAAAAAATTGCTCTTCTCTATCCAAACCTTAAGAGAAGAAGGAGAAGAAAGTAGAGGGCAAAAAAAAAAAACACCACCCCAAAGGAAAATAATAAGGAAAAGAAGTCATAAGCATTTATATAATTTTTTTTATATAATTTTTTTCCTTTTTCCTTTTTCCTTTTTTCTTTCTATGTTTTGCTTCTACTTCTCGAAATCCCCATAATTTACTTTCTTTGCTTTTTTCCTCTTAAAAAGCTTCTCCACGTGGAAAACCTGGTTGTTTCTCCGCCATCCCAACCTTGAAAGTTTCCCATTACTCGCGTCGATCTTCACCATACCCGTCCTGTCCTTTCCGATCCCAACCCTCCCTTTCTACTCTTTCAAGGGACTCTCTCTCTCTTGTCATGGACCTTGTTTGAACCACACTCATTTCTGGGATATTTAGTGGGCAATGGATCCCCATGCAGCCCTTGAGCTGCTGGAATACTTGCGCACCTCTTACCCAATCTTTCTTCTTATCCTCTTTGTCGTGGCCTTCGTGGCTAATACTACCATCGCTGCAAGGAAAGCTAGCAAGCATGAATCCCAATATTTCGGCCCTGGAGGGCGACCACTCCCTCAGCGAACTCGAAGTGTACCCACCTACAAATCCCAGTTCTCGCGGAACGTCAAACGAGTTTTCAATTTACTCTCCGTGGCCATTCTCCTGACCTTCCTTGCGGATGCAATCATCTATATCATACATGTCATGGTGGCCAGGTCAGAGAATTGGTGGCGGGGACAGTCCTTTGTGGTATGTTCTATTCCGATGGGTTGGTGTTTCTCGACATTGACACTTTATCACAGATTTACGTCGTCGGCTCGTTCTTTGTCTACGCAGTACTGCTCATGGCAATGTTGGACACATCTCCCTCGCCTACTCTCGCCCAATTTGTATGTTGGTCGGTCGCCATCCCCATCGAAATGGTTATTGTTAGCACCTCCCTCTCGATCTATACCTCCGTTCACCACGAGCCTATTGTTGGAGACCCAGAAGGGGGCCGGGTCCGCAGAAGCATTACATTCTGGGAGTCCCTGGAAGTGGGATCGAGTAGTGTACGCATCCTTATTTTGTTTGCACTGGTTCTTCTCTACGCCTGTCAATCGTTCAATACGAAGAACCACGGGAAGGTAAGCCAACGGGCGAATGGAGCCACAGAAGCCACGGGACTTTTGGATTCTGCTGGTGTAGAAAACGGCAATGGGAATGGACATGGGAACGGAATCGCCAATGGTCACTCATATGGCTCGACGAACGGAACTCCTCGCCCCGAAACTACCAAACCTACCGATCCATGGGTACGTCCGACAACCATTCCTTCCACCAGCTGGTGGGAGTACCTGAGCGGGTACTCGCTGTTTTTCCCATACCTGTGGCCGTCTAAATCCCGCCGCCTGCAACTAATTGTCACCTTTTGTTTTGGGCTCCTCATATGCCAGCGAGTCGTTAACGTCTTGGTACCCTACCAAATCGAGGTCATTACGGGTGCCCTGGTAAGGGATGACGGTGAGGAATTCCAAGTGCCATGGCTGCAAATTTGCCTATATGTGGTGTACCGATGGTTGCAGGGCAGCCAGGGCTTACTCAGCTCTCTGCGCTCGAGCCTCTGGATTCCCGTGAGCCAGTATTCTTACATGGAGCTCTCCACCGCCGCGTTTGAACACGTTCATAGTCTCAGCTTAGACTTCCACCTCGGAAAAAAGACCGGCGAGGTCCTGTCCGCCTTGAGCAAGGGCAGTTCGATCAATACTTTCCTTGAGCAGGTCACATTTCAGGTGGTGCCGATGCTTGTCGATCTTGTGATTGCGATTGTGTTTTTCATGGTTGCATTCGATGTCTACTACGCTCTAGCCGTCGGGATTTCCACATTTGGTTATCTCTATGTCACTATTCGTATGGCCCAGTGGCGAGCAGAGATCAGAAGACAAATGGTCAATGCCTCCCGACAAGAAGATGCCGTCAAGTAAGTTAGAAACGCGATTATGCATTATCCATCCGAGATATATGTGGGACTAACGTATGCTCTTTCTAGGAACGACTCTATGGTCTCATATGAGACAGTGAAATACTTCAACGCCGAACAGTACGAATTCAACCGGTACCGGGGTGCCGTGCGTGACTTCCAGAAGGCCGAATATCACGTGTTGTTCTCTCTAACACTGCTGAACACCTGTCAAAACACCGTGTTTATGATGGGTTTATTGGTAATGTGCTTTATTTGTGCATACCAGGTCGCTACTGGCCAGCGCCCTGTGGGCAAGTTCGTGTCTCTACTGGCGTATATGGTCCAACTCCAGGGTCCGCTAAATTTCTTTGGCACTTTCTATCGATCTATCCAATCCGCATTAATTAATGCCGAACGTCTGCTAGAACTGTTCCGTGAGCAGCCAACTGTGGTCGATAGCCCCCGTGCCACCCCATTGGCCACGTGCAATGGTGATATCAAGTTCGAGGATGTTGAATTTGCTTACGATGCGCGCAAGCCCGCGTTGAACGGTCTTACCTTCCACTGCCAGCCGGGAACCACCACCGCCTTGGTTGGTGAGTCTGGCGGAGGTAAATCCACTGTCTTCCGCCTCTTGTTCAGGTTCTACAACTCCGGGAATGGACGTATCCGTATCGACGGGCATGATGTACAGGATATCACGATCGATTCAGTCCGTCAGCACATTGGCGTGGTCCCTCAGGATACTGTACTTTTCAACGAGACTTTGATGTACAACTTGAAGTACGCCAAGCAAGACGCTTCCGATGAAGAAGTTTACGAAGCTTGCCGCGCCGCCAGCATTCACGACAAGATTCTTGCTTTCCCCGACGGCTACAACACCAAGGTTGGAGAGCGTGGCTTACGGCTTAGCGGCGGCGAGAAGCAACGTGTGGCTATCGCCCGTACCATCATTAAGAACCCGCGCATCATTCTCTTAGATGAGGCAACCGCAGCTCTAGACACAGATACTGAGGAGCATATCCAGAGGGCGCTCTCTACTCTTTCACGTGGTCGCACCATGCTGGTAATCGCTCATCGTCTCAGCACCATCACTACCGCAGACCGCATCTTGGTCTTGTCAGAGGGTCAAGTGGCTGAAAGCGGCACGCATGAAGAGCTTCTGGCTCTGAAGGGTCGCTATGCCAGCATGTGGCGTAAGCAGATCCGCGCCCAAAAGGCTGCGGCAGAAGCCCAGGTTCTTCAAGACAGGGCTGAGCGAATCCGCACTGCAACCACCAGCGATGACAGCTCCAGTCAATCGGATGAAGACCGCAAGATTGTCGGTCGCCGAAACAACTAAATCAGTAATGCCTGAACCGCTAAAATAGGGACAGGGAATGACTCTTGTTTAATTTTCAACATGTGCATACGCTTTTTCATATTCTTACAAGAAAAGTACCCATGGGCAGTAATGATCGGAGGCAGCATGAGATCAAGTTTGATGTTTCGTCTTGAGGGGTGACAGCCTCTCTTTTCTGCTTGCTCATTTCTCATTTTTTCGGTTCGTTCGTTCTTCCAGGTATCGTTTTCTTTTTTCCTTTTTCTCTCTGCTTTTGTTGGCGTTTTGGGTCTACGACGCGTACGATGTTATCGTCTCTCTTGTCCTTGTTTCATATGAATCCAGGCGCAGAGGGTCAGGGTTGGGACTCCTGCAAAATCAAAATAGATTAATTGCTAGGCTCGATATTAATATAAGAATTCAATTAACGTGGAGTGTACCCAATTGCTTGCTTAGCTGCTTTTATGTCTGATAGAAGTCGATGCTCATTCAACACAGAGCCACTCTTGGCCTAGGATTTTCAACCGTTCTCCTTCCTATATACTCGCTACGTGTTGATACGCGATATTTTTAGACTCATGCTGAGGCGTTAGTGGATATTAATATGTAGGTCCATGTCTCGGGGCTGCTAGCTCTCTTCGCCAAGACCCGGGGCAAGAAAGCCTTACTTCACGTGATACCGATCATCATCCGAGCCACTACATCACGGGGAGGCTGTATAATACCAAGAACCAACTTGAACCAGCCACTCTATCGAACACATCGCATCAATGCATTCACCATCACCCCAACTTCTGCGCGTCTTGCGCACCTCCCTGGTCAACGCCCCTCGTACCCCGAATTTGACTCGATCCTGCCAGATCCCATCAGCAACCGCAGCACCATGCCTCGTCTCAAATCCTAACACCGAAATACCATCAACACGCCGAAACTATAGCTCACCTATCCGACCAACCCGCATGATTCCTCGCTCGCATGCGCACAAACCAGTTAGCCACGACCGCGGCCCGGAGTCCCAAGAAGACACTCAAACCAACTTCGATGCGTTGAACGTACTGGGTAACATTCCCGCGCCAACGACGGGCATTGATGCATGCCTCGATTCCGGGTTCCATCTTAACAATGGTGTGAAGCTTACCAAAGGCGATGGGCTGTTGCTGGTCGGTGGTGAGGCATTTTCATGGCGGCCTTGGAAGGCTGTCGAGGGCGCGGAGAGCGACCGTGTCGCTAAGGATGCTATGCTCAATGCCAAAGGGCAGTTTGAGCTTGATGAGTCAGTCTGGGGGTTGTTGAATCTTGTCTGGCCAAAGCCTGGTATGTTGGCTCTTGCTTTTTTTTTATTTTTTATTTTTTTATCCCGGATATGTGCTTTCGTCCATGGATATGATATACTTGGGCTTGAACGCAAAATCACTCTTCGATTTGCTAACAGTTCCACTACAGATATGCTCATTCTTGGTCTTGGTGGCTCGATTTTCCCGCTCTCACCTGAAACTAAGCGTCACATCAACTCGTTGGGCGTTAGGGTGGATGTCCTCGATACCCGGAATGCGGCCGCGCAGTTCAATCTGCTTGCTACGGAGCGCGGTGTTACTGAGATTGCCGCTGCCATGATTCCTATTGGGTGGAAGGCTAGACCTCTCTAGGGATTATAGGTTGTCTTTTGAGGATGACATGTATTATGTAGATAATTTGAGTATATATGGCCTAGGCCGATTCAAAATGAAACAATTCTTCTCCTTACATCCCTCAGTTGTACGAAAGGGCAGGCGTAGGTAGTTCTTATCCATTGCATAGTTCGTACCATGTTACCCGACCTCTAGTGACGTGACCTCGGAACGTATCATGTGAGCCCTGTTATCTTATCCTTATCTCCTCACCTCCAACCCCAGGCTTCAGGGTCCACGTGAGCCAACACAACCTTCCAAAGGAAGGTCGCAATCGAAGTTATTGAGCTTGTATATCTTCACTCTTTTCCGGTTTTGTCTTTACATTAGCTATGGCGCGGGAAGAGTCCCTCCTACCTCCGCGCCTGTCCTCCGATGATGGCTCGTCGATCCGAAATGAAGAGGAAGACTACGCCCTCCTGACCGGCGAGCGAACGGCCCCCGAAAACAAACGACGAGTCTGGCCTTCCTGGCGGGAAATTGGAGTGTTCTCCTGGGCCCTTATTGCAACAATCTTGGTAATTGTGCTGGCCGCGATCTACCCACACAAGTCAGCAGAGCCCCACGACCATCATTCGTCAAATACAACCTGGGGCCCTGGAGGCAAGCCGACAGGCAAGCGGAACCTGATCTTCATGGTGTCTGACGGCATGGGCCCTACTAGTCTCTCGCTGACTCGAGGCTTCCGACAATACACGCATGATCTGCCATTCGATGACATTCTAGTCTTGGATAAACACCACATTGGAACTTCGCGAACACGGTCAAGCTCTAGCTTGGTGACGGACTCTGCTGCTGGAGCGACGGCTTTTTCATGTGGTCGCAAGAGCTATAATTCTGCTATCTCGGTGCTTCCCGACCACTCGCCTTGTGGGACTGTGCTCGAGGCGGCTGCGTTGGCTGGTTATAAGACAGGTCTGGTTGTGACCACCCGCCTGACGGATGCAACCCCAGCATGCTTTGCCTCGCATGCCAATCTACGGAACTACGAAGATCTGATTGCCGCGCAAGAAGTTGGAGAACATCCTCTCGGCCGGGTAGTAGATCTTCTGCTTGGCGGTGGGCGGTGCCATTTCTTGCCCAACTCACAGGCTGGTAGCTGCCGTGGTGATGATCATGATCTGGTCAAGGTTGCTGCTCAGAATGGGTTTGGTTATATCGATGACCGTGCGGGATTCGATAGCCTTAAGGGCGGTGATAATGCCACTTTACCACTGCTAGGTCTCTTCGCTAGCGGGGATATCCCGTTTGAGATTGATCGACGTACTCAAAATGAGACCTATCCCTCTTTGGAGGAGATGACTCGCACTGCCTTGAAGGCCTTGAGCAAGGCCACTGAGGACAGCGAGCAAGGGTTCTTTGTCATGATCGAGGGCTCTCGCATCGACCATGCCGGCCATGGCAATGATCCTGCCGCTCAGGTTCACGAGGTACTGGCATACGACAAGGCCTTTTCTGCTGCGCTCGAGTTCCTAGAGAATGACTCTACTCCTGGCGTGATTGTGAGCACATCTGACCACGAGACCGGCGGTCTTTCCGCAGCACGCCAGCTGCACAAGACCTACCCTGAGTATTTGTGGCTTCCGAGTGTCCTGGACAACGCAAGCCACTCTGCCGAATACCTTGCCGCTCAACTAAAAGAATATCTTTCTGGGCCAGGCAAAGACGCCAAGGATTCGGCCAAACAGTCTTGGGTCCGGCAGGCTCTTAAGGATGGGCTTGCCATTGATGATGCTACAGACCATGAACTAGATGCCTTGCTCCACCCAGACCCCGACGTCACTGCGGCATATGTGTTCGCGGATATGATCAGCCGCCGCGCCCAGGTTGGTTGGAGTACTCACGGACATTCTGGTAAGATCGTCTTAATCAGTGACCTATGACAGTATGCTAATTTCGTTATAGCTGTTGACGTCAACATTTACGCGTCGTCTACCAAGGACGCTTGGCCATTAGTTGGCAACAAGGAGAACACCGACGTGGGAGACTTCCTTGCCGACTATCTTGATCTCAACGTCGACAACGTCACGAAGTTGCTACAGGACACCAAGTCTGGAATCTCACAATCATACGATTGGATGGGTGACCGCCTTGGCTTGAACTTCCACACCGATGGACTAGACACCTACCATGGAGACTTCAGGAAGCGATCTGCCGATGATTGTGGATGTGGTGCTGCACACTAAACGACAGCCACCACTTGGCATTTTTCCTATTCTTTTGGGTTTCTGTATTAAGCAGCACTGTGGATATTTCAGGGTTTCATCATCATCATCATTATCAATATCATCATCATCATATATACTTGTATGCAATCCGATATATCATTTCCTCGAACATCTGTGTACAACCGACGTTGGTCTTATCAAATAAGCATTGGTATTTTGAGTGCTATCCTCTCCTTGAACTTCAAAATCACCGAGTAAAATCATCCTCAACACAATTGAATAGGTACATGTCACCTCATCGCCAAACATCCGTATCTCCCAAAGCACAAATCGAAATCACAATGCTTTCGCTTCACAATCAGGGCAGCTTTCCACCAAAACCATCATCTGGTGCACGATATTGCTCTCTGAAATGACACTCAGATAACCCATTTCCGGACGAAGGATGGCTGATCTCATCGTGACTGTGTATGGCTGACACGTGGGACAACCGGGGTCAAATGGTAAATCGTAGTCTCTGCGCTGGTCCGGGTCGTTGATGCGATTGAGTTGGTGGAGGACCTCGCGACAAAAGATGTAGAGCTCGAAGCACGTATGCTTGCAGTTGGAGTAGTGAGTCTCCACAAATAGACACATGTTGGTCCAGCTCGCGTGGCTGACACGCGAGATTGAGTGTTCTCTGTGTTCGTGTGCCTTGAGGGAGCTTTGCTCTGTGTTGGTGCGGCTCGAGGTAGAATACCTGGTTGGCTGGTTGTTGGTTGTATCCGCTCTTCGTGAATCTCGAAGGGACGATTGTGGATTTTGTTGATTGTGATGTGCGACTTAAGTGGGTTGTTTAGTGTGAGACTGGCTAGGAAAGAAATAAAGGCTTTGGTTGTTTTATGGCAAAGCGAACTTTTGGGGTGAGTGAAATGTTGGATACCGTTGTGTTGGAACATGTCCCAAATCGGAAAAATGAGTTGGAAATCCATATACGAAGAAGTAAGAAGCGGGAATTGCGCAATGATAAAGGCTACCCTTGAGAGAGTATAGTGAATAAATACTAGGTCATGTAGCGCAGTGACAATGAAGTAAAAGTGAGCCAAAGCCCAAGCATTCTAGTTTGCTACTCTATTTACTCTGCAGGCAATCATCACTTTACCTATTCACATAACATTGTTTAGATCACTCATGATGAAAGAAGTAGCTTTAGACTATGTACAGCCTTTCAAGTACGAGACAAAGGACTTTATTGAGAGTAAACAACGTTGCTGTGAATGCCAACTACGTAGGGGAGTATGCAGTATATACCATATGTTATACCAAATGTCCAGAAAGAAAAATAGAAGGATTATCATGGAAGGCAGCATGGTGAGATAAACACAAAGAGAGTCTGGAATCAAACGTTTGCACAAACAAAGCCAAATGAAATGTCACAAGCTATACCCGTGGATATCTGAGAATTATATGAAGCTATCCTACATGAAAGGCACTCCCTATCTTGTTCAACCGGTGCTATACCATGCCAAAGCGATAAAGCTCTTCAATAACCATTAACTATATTAGTATGTAGTTATATACTGAAAATAAGAAGAACAAAGACTTCTTAATGGTAGCTGTCTCTCAACATAAAACAGCTATACGGCCAAGAATCCTCTATAATGAGAGAACTGGCTTTGCCTATAGATTGTATTGTCAAAGGCATCTCTTTTGCATAGCCTGATAGATATGGACAGACATGTCCTCTTTCCATAACCTCACCTAGACAACCTTCTAAGATGGTAGTATAAAACTCACTTGCACAAATCTGGTTGTATCATCCCAATTAGAATATTTGAATGTCACAGTTGCCAATTTACACTAGATGGTCCAATGTTTACCTGTATTTGTTCCTCGTGTGCTTCTCTTGTTGTTTGTTAACATGCAGATAGCCTTCACTTCGCCCAATTACCTCGCTTCATGGTCACTCATTTCAATCGAATATACCCTCGATATCATCGATAAGGATCAGACTCTATCGGCGGTTTATTCCATCAGTAGAATAACTCCCAAAAAGAAACAACTTCGAAAATGGACAGGTTCCTCCAGGACCCAGGGGGTGATAAGCTCTTGAGCGAGCACAACCGGGCTCTTGAAGCTGCCGAGGCTGTCAAGGGCATGCAATTCAAACCAAAAGTGACACGACACGAACTCTTGAAACAATTCAAGTATCGGCAAATGATGAACAAAGATCAACCACCGGGCCAAGCTAGCGCCAGCACAGTGGATGTCTCCTTTGCCCCTCCCATCTATCCACCATGTCTCGCTCCATTGGAAGGCCTGAAAAAGATCATGTTCAAGGATTTGCTTCTTGAAACTCATCATAGGGGCTCTTACATCCTGGTCAGATCAATCACCCAGGCAGAGAAGATGACCGCAACTATGGCCATTGTGGAAGACGAAAAGGAAGATGCAATCCCGCTTCAAATGTTGAACGAGAGGCTCCACTGCCATGACGACTCTGTTGATCAAGGGCAGATTTTGCTTGTGAAGGAGCCATATCTGACCTTGACGTCCGTTGGAGAATACGGAGTCAGAGTTGATCACGTTTCTGATATCTTGTTCATCCCATTGTTCGACAAGATGGCCCCATCAGCTTGGCGAGAGCGGCTTCCAGAGGATGAGACCTCTCAGTGGATGGCCAGGGACTGGCTAAGGGTGGGCAACGAGTATCTCAACCGGGGCAAATTTTATTCTGCCACTGAACAGTGAAGTGTCCAAGTAGATTATTCAACAGCGAAGAATGCTAATCACAGTGACAGTTACTCCAAAGGATTGGAGTGTTCGCCGACCGAGGAAGAAATGCATTACCTTCTGTACTACCGAGGCCTGGCCTTCTTCCAGGTCGATGGGTGGGATGCAGCTCTGCGTGATCTTGATACCGTTCCAGCGGGCCCACAATCCAACAAAGCCCTTCGAGGCAAAGCCCAAAGCCTGTACCATTTGAGAAGGTTCCGGGAAAGCTGCGATGTATTCACGAAACTCTGCAAGAAACACCCTGAAGATGTTAGTGCGAAGAACGATTTTCGTGAAGCTATCTCACGACTTGCAGAGCAAAAGAAGGGTGGATACAACTTCAAGAAGATGCAGGAGAAAGCATCGAAAACCTGCCCGCCGCTCTTGGACCATGCGACATGGATTGGCCCAGTGACAGTCCGGCAAACCAAATCCCAAGGAAGAGGCCTATTCACAACAGAGACAGTTAAGGCCGGTGATTTACTTCTCTGTGAGAAAGCATTTGCCTACGCAACCGAGCACCCTAGCGGGCCAAGGTGGGACAGCAACCTCCATGTCAACACTGAAACGGGGACGACCATCCGAGGAGGTCAACTCGCACTCGCGTCGTTGGTCATCGAAAAGCTACACAAGAACCCATCATCAACATCAGCAATAACCGACCTCCACAGTGGTGGATTCAAGCAGGTCTCAATAGGACCCATTGATGGCAAGCCGGTGGTAGACACGTAACAAAGAAACAAGCCACTCCATCTGAAGTACACCAAGCTAACAAATCCTCGTTCCTAACCCGCAGATTCCAGGTCACCCGCATAATCTCCCTCAACAGTTTCGGTAGCCCAACCTCTTCGAGAGGAGACCACATCCATGACGCGCTCGATGCAAGCAGGAGCCCCGAAAGGCCGCACAACTGCGGCATCTGGCCCTACGCCTCGATAATCAACCACTCATGCATGAGCAACGCACACCGCGCCTTCATCGGCGACATGATGATCATCCGCGCAACCACAGATATCCCTAAAAATACCGAGCTGACAATCTGGTACCTGCTCCCCGACCCTGCAAACCAGCCCATGGATTTCCGACACTGGGGCTTTGAGTGCTGCTGTGCCATGTGCGCCGATGTCCGGGCGACAGAGCCCCGCGTTCTCTGGACACGGACCAGACAGCATGAGCAGATTGCTATGGCACTGGAAGATAAATGTCACGAGCGCGCTGAGATTCTCATTGAGCGTCTGGCTGAGACCTATCTGCGCCCGCTGGAGCAGGTACTGCGCCTTGGGTTGTGGGAGCCGCTTACTTTGATTGCTGGGGTTTATGACGGCCTGAAGCAGCAGGATGAAGCTAGGGAGGCTGTGAGTCGGGCTCTCGCCGCTGTTGGATTTGTGATTGAGGGGGGTGTAGAAGGCCCACTTGTTGTTAAGAAATGGGGGCTTGTTATGGATAATCTTGTTGTTGCGTGGATGATTCTTGGCAAGTCTCTGCTCAAGGTTGCACCTGAGAGGGCCATACAGGCAGAACGGTATGCTCGCATGGCTTACTTGATTTCTGTTGGGGAGGAGGCAAGCTTTGATGCAACTTATGGAATGAGCTTGAAGGTAGCCACGGCTCATGCTAGTTTTGACGGTCAAGTGGAAGGCCAAGTGGAAGGATGGGTAGTTTAGGGCTTGTGATTTGGGATGTACCAAGAGGTGAATATGGCAAACAATTGCGGTTTGGCCGAGTGGTTAAGGTATGTGTTCCTTTATCAAGTAAACCCAACATCCACTAACAATTCCTAAAAGGTTGAAATCAATTCTGTTCGCAGTCGCATTTATCATGCAGCCATCGTTATTTCCTATTTTTTCCCCCTCCCTTATATTACATCTGTATTTTATTCAGTAAGGGGGAATATTAGAGAATAAGGACTATAGAAGTCAGGACACATATCTCCGCAAATAATCACAATCCGGAGGTGGGTACCACGAATTAGGGCTTGAGTTGCTTCCCGGAATACCCTGATATCTGCCGGCCTAGGTGGAGCAGCTTGAAAAGACATTGGAATTTGCACATAGCTCTGCAAGTTGTATGGCCAGATCAGAGAGTTTGATTGATTGAGCCCACTCTCTTGCATGCAGAGCTATATTCATGGAACGGGGTGTTGTCAATGATGTGGTTTCTCGTCGATAATGCGCGTTGAGAATTTCCTTCCACCTGGGAAACTCGCATAAAGGGCCCTCATAAAAGCGGCGGCAGCCAAGATGGGGAAGCCCCACCCGGCAGAGGAAAAACACTACGTAGAGTTACCTACAACATATGTTGTATAACTATAGCACATGAAAGGATATAGTAACAATGAAATGGTTACCCATGTACGGAGTACGGAGTACGGAGTATTGTAGACGGATTAAGAAATGAGAACGGAATTAGGTACAAAGACATCACCCACATACATGGCAGTATGTCAGATTGCTGACGCAGCTCACCAATCCACAGATAACTGGCATGCCGCGCGTACTTCTTCTTTAAGTCAATCTAGTCCCAACTTGGTGATATTCTAGGGCTGTGGCTGACACGTTGCTAGTCTAACGGTTGTGGACCCTCGGGATATTCCCGTTCCCCTTCTGACACTTTCACACTCCACCTTCTCCTCCCTTGTCAATTTTACCTTGCCTTTGAGTGTTGAGAATATGTCAAAAATGAAGGAAATGGAAGAAATTACGGTGGTAAGTGGTGCTTTTATAATCTGATGGAGTCATTCTCACCGTTCACCTAGGATCCTGATTTCTACTCTATGAAAAATTACTACAGCAGGGATGCGCAGGACCTTCAGTCGTGAGTGAAGTGCCACTATGAATATCTATGACAGCATTCTCAAATTATGTAGGGATACCACCTCTATC